GCCACCGGGGGGGGGGTATTTTGGGAAGGGTGGTGGAAATGGTCTGCACTGGGTTGGGGTGATGGTTACACAGCACCCTACTTTTGCAAAAACCACGGAAGTGTGCACTTGAAACACGGCGACGGGGAGGTGTGGAGATCTCCTGACAGACCCGAGACCGCTCTGCTTCCTCCCAGGGGCCCTGCCCAAACCCTCCATCAGCGCTGAGCCAGGCCCTGTGGTCCCCCGGGGACAGCCCGTGAGCATCGTGTGCCGGGGCCCAGACAGGGTTGACATATTCCGCCTGGAGAATGGAAGACACAGTGTTTTGGATCAGACAGTTGTGTCTCAACCTGGTTCACTGGGGACAGAGGCCACATTCCACTTCCCCGCAGCGAGCGAAGACACCGCCAGCAGTTACCACTGCCTCTATAGAAAAGGGGGCGCCTGGTCTGAGCGCAGTGAGCCCCTGGAGCTGAAGGTGACAGAGGACGTCCCCTCTTCACCCTCAGGTTTGTCCCAGGTCCCTGCACCCCGTCGCCAGCTGTGTCTCTGTTCTCAGGCTCCCTGCCCTCCTGCTGACCCCCAGCCCCATGGCCCCCCTTCCCCTCTACACTCATGACCCTCAACCTCCCCATCTGGCTCAGGGCCCTAAGGCTTTGGTCCCATCTGGACACCACGGTGGCCTGGGCACTGAGCCCCAGCACAGAGTGGGCACAGAGCTGTCCCTCTGGGCTGGGTGGGGAGTGGGCTCCCAGCGATCAGGTGGGGACAGACCCCCTTCAAGGGGACATGTGTCCTTTCCCTCAGGATGGTGTTAAACTGTCCCTTCCACTGGGCCAGACTCTGTGGGCTCAGGGAATGTGTCACCTGGGGTGTGGTCCACCCTCCATTAGGCAAGTCACGTGGTTCATGGGGTCCCTGACCAGGGCTGGATGGTGCTTTGGGAGATGTTTTGGATGAGACTGTCCCCAGCTGGGTGTGGTCAGACCCTGAGACAAACTGGAGTGAGGGTCCAGCAAGGACATGGACAGGGAGGGAGGGAGAGAACATTCTTCCTCTAAAACTGAGTATTTTCTCTTTTCTCTTAATCCTGCTGTCACTTGGACATCCCATGGGTGGGCGCACACTCCCAGGGGTGGTCCCCATCGTCCAGGCCTGGGGGTGTCCACCCAGTTCATCCTGACCCTGTCACCTTCACTGCCCTGGGGGACTGGGGGGCACAATGGCCCTGCTAGGTGAGATCAGAGTCCAGGACGTGTGACCCTGTGGCCAGGTGAGGTGGCTCCTACCCACTCAGTTCTCCATGGACCAGGGACCAGGTGCTCTGTGGTTCCCTTGCCCCCTTCCTAGGAGCCCCTGGGGACCTCAGCTCCCCCACCGGAGCCCCCTCCTTGGCCGGGGAGTGGCGACCTCAGCCTGGGACGTCCCCTCCTCGGGGATCAGCTGAGCAGTGGGGTGGCAGTGGGCATGGGTCCTGCTTCTCTCATGGCGGGTGGGCACTCAGCAGGCAGGGACACTCTGCATCCTTAACAGCAAGAGGCCTATTCACCCTGGGGTGTTGAGAGCCTGGAGGGGAGACTCCCCTGGACCCCTGAGTGAGGCTGATGAATGACAGGCCTAAATTTTCCAGCTGTTGCCTGCCCTGGGCTCCTCTAGTTGACTGGCTGTGAAACCTGGGGGTGTGGACCCCAGGGTCTCGATTTGGGGGTTGTAGGTATCTATGGGGCAGGGGCCTGGGTGCTCCCAGTGGAGGGAGGGTCTCTGCAGGGCTCAGGGGGCAGGGCATCGTGAGAAGGGGGAGCAGTTGTCTGAGACATCCGTCAGCCCTTTCTGACTCCTAGGGCCACCCTGTGAAAGCACTGCCCCGTCCCCAGGAGCGGGCTCCCAGCCAGGTAAGTCATCTGGGAGTGTGCTAGAGGGAGTGCTGGCAGGACAAACGGATCCTCCCCAACAGACAAGGAGGTCCTGTCTGATAGGCCCTGGACGTGGCCGCGTCTTGTCCACCTGTCAGTGACCCCCTGTCCTCTGCCTCCAGCCCCTGCCTCCTGGGATTACACGGTGGGGAACTGTGTCCGCATCGGCCTGGCGGGCGTGGTCTTGCTGATCCTGGTGGCGATTCTGGCGGAAGCTGGGCACAGCCAGCGCAGGTCCCCACACGGACCACAGGGTTGAAGACAAGGGAGTGCCCACCAGAGAGATTAGACCCCCAGGCCCCAGGAGGAGGGACCTCCCCCAGGCCCCGGAAGATCACACTGGAGCCCAGGAGCCCAGAGCTGCCCCCGCTGAGGGCCTCCTGGGAGGCTGCCCTTCAGGACCGCACCCATCCTCGGAACGCAGGGTGCTCGGCGGTGACCTGGCCTCTCCTGTGTGGTCCGTCTTGGGTCTCCAGGGTTTGGCTCCAGGCCTGACGCTCACCATGCTCACGCCCCCCCCTCCTTCCTGGGCCTCCTTCTCTCCAGGTTTTGAGAGGCCCCAGGTCGCTGCAGCCCAGCCTCCTCCCCTCCTGCTGTTACAGAGGCTCAGGCCATTTCCCCTGGTTCAGGCCTCTCCCTCTCGCCGTCTCAGGGTCTGGGTTCCCTCCCAGGACCGCCCGCCCAAAGCCCATGCTGGGCTTTTCTACTCCGCACCCCCTTCCCTCCTCCGGGAGCCCCACCTTCCCAGCTGCTTTCTGGGAAACGGGAACCTGCTGCTCAAGGCTCTCAGTCCCACTGACACCTGTCACCTGTGGAACTGCTCCTGCCTTGGGCCCCACCCATCCCACTTCCCTGTTCCTGGAGTGGTCTCTGCCTCCTTGGTCTGTTTCCTTGGGTCCCAGCTAACTGGAGTCAAAAGTCCAGGGAAGGAAACGTGACCCCAGACCACAGCGAGGTATCACCGCACACTCATCAGGACGGCTGTTGTTAACATTTTTGCTTTCAAGCGATGGTACTGGACTTACCAGGGAGACCACTCCACTCCGTAAGGTATATAAATGTCTAATCACTGTGCTGTACACTTGGAATAATATATTGTATGTATGTCAACTGTAATTGAAATATAAATTTAAAACAAGAATCTAAATAAAGGAAAGTAACAAGTGTTGTGAGGAGGTGGAGGAATGGGGAGCCCTTGTGCCCCTTGGTGGGGATACAAAATGGGAATTTGTATGGCTGTTCCTCAAAGTTAAACACGGAATTACCACCCGGTCCTGCAACCCCTCTTCGGGTGCCCACACACAGAAGGCCTTTATGGATTGAGGTAACTAGGTGTTCTGTTTGTTTCTTGGATTGGAGGATCTAGTTCTTTCTATAGTTTGGAAATTTCTCACCCATTAGTAGTTTGAATAGACCCTCTTGCCGGAGCCCGCCGGCAGAGTCGAACGGTCCTGAGGAAGGGGTGAGGATGAAGAAAAGACAGACACAAAAAAGATGGGATCGGGAGGGCTGCAGCTCATCACTGCTACCAGCTGCCAGCCCCGAGTTTATTTTCCCAGCTCAGTTTATACAGACACTATAGATTTTGCTGAATAGCGCCCCACCCCGCATTCCTTTACCTTGCCCATATGAATGCTCTTTAGAGTAAACATCCTGCCTCCTGCAGGAGCTCAGTCCTTGGTAACTATCTTTGTCTCGGCTTCTAATGGGAACTTTTGGGGAGGATTAAGTCCTAGGCCAGGTATGTGGCTTGGCTGCCCTTTGATCCTTCAGGCCGGGACCAACATCCTGATAAGCCTTTCTGGAATTTATGGCGCAAGCTAAAGCAGCATCGCCTTGGTGCCTCAAGGTCTGGGTCAGGGAGCAGGAGAGCACATCTGCAGCTCACCCAGGCACTGTGCCTGGGGCCACAGCAGCTCACCCACATCTCCCAGGGAGCAGGGGAGCACATCTGCAGTTCACCCAGGCAGCTCCTCCGTGCCTGGGGCCACAGCGGCTCCCCACACTCTCTGTTCCCTTCTCCCTCTCTTCTTCTTCTGGTGTGACTATTATTCTTTTATTACTCTTTCTGATGGAGTCAGATAGTTCTTGTAGGGCTCTTTCATTTTTTTAATGCTCAAGTCTCTTTCTTCTTCCCTCTGCATCATTTCTAGATTTCTATCTTCGATATCATTGCTCCTCTCCTCCATTTGGTTTGCTCTTTCCTATGCTCACTAGTTCATGCTTCATCTCTTTCACTGAGTTCTTCATTTCCAGGATTGCTGTTTGGTTCTTTTTTAAAGTTCCCATCTCTTTAGTGAAGTACTCATTTTGTTTGTTAAGTTGTTTTCTGAGCCCGCTATATTGCCTGTTTGTATTTCCTCGCATCTTGTTGAGTATTTTCAGAACTGCAGTCTTGAATTATCTATCATTTATGTCACATATTTCCATGTCTTTAAGTTTGTTTTCTGGAGATTTTTCATTTTTGAGCTGCCTCACTACCTCGGTTACTCAGGGCATTTGATGGATTTCTTCTCTGTCTAGGCATCAATATGTAGATTGCACTTCTCTAGCAGATTAACAGGAAGAGGTCTTTCTATGACTTTCCAGTAAGTGGCGCTGAATAACCTTTTTTTCTTCTTTTTTTAAAGCTCTGTGAGATCCCAGCGCTGTCTCCCATGACCTCTGTGGTTGTGTAGCAGTGATGCATTGGGGTGGGGGTGGATCCCTCTAGGTTCTGTGTTATTTTACACTTGGTAATGGTGGGGTTCCCCCTGTGTTCTGGTCACAGAGTGTACCATTTTCTCAGGGAAGAATGTGGGTATGTAGTATTAGGTCTTGGGCATGTTCTCAGTTGCACAGTTAATGTGGTCCACAATCCCACATCGAGGCCAAAGGGAGGTGATCTCTGGGAGGTCTTATAAGGGGAGGCACCCAGGCTTTGTGGCTTTGTTTCACTGTTTGAATTGGAGATCACCCAACAGAAAACCACAACTGCTTTCTGGGCTCAACCATAGCTATTGCTGCAAGAGACTGGGGGTATCAGCGACAACCAGGTTCCTGCCCTCTCTGGGCTGAGCCCCAGGCGACCTCCCAGCTGCTGGGCTGCATTTCTGGCTCATATCAGCCCCACTCCCTATTTGATCCACCTGCCCACCTTTAGATGTTTCAACGTGCAGACCTCTCAGGCGTGTTTGTGCATTGAGCGGGGAATCCTTTGTTGAGATATGACTGTAAAGACTGCTGCAACTTCTAGGGGAGACACCAAGGGAATCTCTCAGGCTGCCATTTCTCTTACATCACCTCCTGTGGTGTCTCAAAAATCGAACTTCGGTCACAAACACTGCGTAGATGTTGCTTTGTCTTTGTGGCCATATGTATGTCTTCAAGGTAGATTACTAGAGAGAGAGAGTTGACTAATTACATAATCTAGTGGATGGGACAAAATAAGCACCCTTCCATTTTTGCTCCTTCCTGCCACGTGTGACCTGAGTGGCTGCCTCCCCACATCCTCTCTGGTAGCATTTATGGTCACAACTGGAAATGCTCCAACGTGGTAGACAGCAGTTTTCTCCATGTGGCTTTCACTGGAATGTCTCTTGTTATGAATGACCTGAGCGTCTGTTTACATGACTGTACATTCTCTGCGCATACTTGCTGTAAACCTGTGCTTAATATCTTTTAATTTCCTTCGCATTTTGTTTAGGCATAATTCACATGCTGTGCAATTCTCCTATTTCAAGGTGTAGAATCCAAGGTGTGTTTTTTGTTTTGTTTTGTTTTTTAAAACTATATTTGCAGAGCTGTATGGTATCACCACAGTCAGTTTTAGAATAGTTTCATTATGCCAGAAGGAAACTGCATAGCCATTAGCCACAAATACTGTTAGGTTTTTTGTTCGTTCATAGGCAACCACGAATCTTTCTATCTCTGTAGATTTGCCTATTCCTGACATTTTGGAGAAGCTAAACCATACAACATGTGGGCTTTTATTACTGGCTTCGATCACTTAGGATAATGTTTTCAAATTTCATCCATGTTGCCCTGGCTGGTGTGGCTCAGTTGGTCGAGCATCGTACACTGAAGCATCATGGGTCCAATTCCCAGTCAAGGCACAGAACCAGGATGAGGGTTTGACCCACAGTTGGGAGTTGGGGCACGAACAGGAGACAGCAGATCCCTGTTTCTTTCTCACAGTAATGTCTCTCTCTCTCTCTCACTTGTTTTTGGAGGTGATGATGCAGTTTTGTTTGTTTTGGCTAATCTGAGATTTGCAAGCACAGCATTAGAATCTGTGTGGTCCAGCGGTGTATTCTTGGGACAGGCACATTGCAAATCCTCAGTGAATATGGGCTGATACTGGGTCAAAGGGGGGTTCAGGCCAGAGAGACAGAAGCTCATGGGTAAAATGGGGCCTCAGGCGCTGCAGAAATGTCTGCAGAAGCCTGCTGCCCCCCCCAGCCCCAGCCCTGAGGAAATGAGCCAGCTCCAGGCAGGGGCTGTTCCCTTTTGTGGGGCTGCTGTCCTGGAAACCCCGTGACGGACGACTAGCCTCGGAGAGGCCACACCCTCTGTGTCTCTCTCCCCTGAGGGCACTGTGGTCCCCTCCATCTGCACAGTCAGGACCAGAGAGAGGGGACACCATGACCCCCACCATCACAGCCCTGCTCTGCCTCGGTGAGATGAGAGGAGGGGGAGGGGAGCCCTGCTGTGTCAGGAAACCGCAGGACTCAGGAGGCTCGCGGGAGGGGGCTCTGCTCAGGATGAGGGCAGATCTCTCACAGGGACTCTCTTCCAGGGCTGAGTGTGGGCCTGAGGACCCCAGTGCAGGCAGGTGAGTGTGTCCCCAGGTGTCCCAGGTCCCACTCCTCACTGGGCACACTGGGCCACACACCCTAGGCAGCTGGGGATGGAGAGTGATAGATCGAGGTTAATGGGGGGGGGGGCATCTGGGAGTTTGGGGCTGAGAGCTAGGAACTGCGGGTGAGGAATGTCTTCTGACCCTGCCTCTGGTTTCCTTCCAGGGACCCTCCCCAAACCCACCCTCTGGGCTGAGCCAGGCTCTGTGATCTCAAAAGGAAGCCCTGTGACCATCTGGTGTCAGGCAACCCAGGAGGTCACGGAGCTTTGTCTGGATAAAGAGAGAAGCCCAGTGGCCTGGGACAGAAAATGCCTACAGATGCCCGGGGACAAGGCCAAGTTCCCCGTCGCATACATGACCCAGCATTGTGCAGGGAGATATCGCTGTTACTATCTCAGCCCCAATGGCTGGTCAGAGCCCAGTGACCCCCTGGAGCTGGTGGTGACAGGTGAGAGGACACTCAAGGGTCCCAGCCTCAGGCTCTGCCCTCAGGAAGGGGGTCTGCTCTCAGGGTGTCCCCCTCTCACAGCCCAAGCCTAGGGGACGTGAGGGAGGTGTGACCCCATCTTACACACTGCCCCCTCCTCTCCTAGGAGCCTACAGCAAACCCAGCCTCTCAGCCCTGCCCAGCCCTGTGGTGACCTCAGGAGGGTATGTGACCCTCCAGTGTAGCTCATGGCAGGGATTTGACAGGTTCATTCTGACTAAGGAAAGAGATCATAGGTTCTTGTGGACCCTGGATTTACAACCACAGCCCAAGGGGCAGTCCCAGGCCCTGTTCCCTGTGGGCCCTGTGACCCCCAGCCACAGGTGGAGGTTCAGATGCTATGGCTATTACAGGAACAAACCCCAGGTGTGGTCACACCCCAGTGACCCCCTGGAGCTCCTGGTCTCAGGTAAGTCTCATTACTGTCCCATCCATGGAATGAGGCACCAGGCAGGTTATAGGCATCTTTGCTGGGAGGGGAGCCCTTGTGAGAGGGTAGGGTGAAGGGAGCACAGGGGCTCCTGGGCCAGAGACACAGAGACAGTGAGACACGGGGGCCAGGACAGGTGAGAAGTCAACGGGTTCAGTCAGGAACCCACCCTCTGCACAGGCCCAGCTGGGGGCTCTCAGGTGGTGAGGTCAGAATGAAAGTGCAGGGCCCAGGGAGGGAGAGACAGAGAGAGACAAGAGTTGGAAGGGGAGAGGAGGAGACTCAGAGAAAAGNACAGGGGATGGGAGGGGACGGTGACTCAGAGGGGACAGAGACAGACAGAGAGGAGGGTCCTCAGAGAGAGGCCTGGGGACTGTCAGGTCAGAGCAAGGTGGGCAGGCGGCCCTCACCCTCCCTCCCTCTCTCCAGGGCACCTGCCTGACAGACCTGCCCTCTCGGTGCAGCCAGGCCCCAGGGTGTCCTCAGGAGACAACGTGACCCTGCTGTGTCAGTCACAGAGCCAGAGGGACACTTTCCTTCTGTCCAAGGAGGGGCAGCTGATCCCCCCCGAGTCTTAGGTCAAAGCACGGAGCTCAGCTGTCCCAGGCAGAGTTCCCCATGAGTCCTGTGACCTCAGCCCACGGAGGGACCTACAGGTGCTACAGCTCAGTCAGCACCAACCCCCACCTGCTGTCCCAGCCCAGTGAGCCCCTGGAGCTCCTGGTCTCAGGTGCAGGGCCCCTGACCCTGTCTTTCTGTATTATATAATATATGTATATTGTATACATATATGTATATTATACATGTATTATTTACATATTTATATATAAACATATAATAATATTGCATATGTAAAGATACACACATAATACCCATAATACACGTCTTTGTATATACATACATACATAAAACTATCTATCTAGATAGCCTGTAACCTTTTGGAGAGTGAATGAATGAATACATGAAATAACAAAAGAAAATCAGTTGAAGGTTCTCACTGCAGACTCAGGAGTCGAGGGAACAGGCTGAGGTTGGGCAAAGACTGATGTAGCCCTAGGTGTCCGCTCCTATTTGTTTCTGACCCTCAGCAACCCCTGGGCACCAGCCTCTCATCCACAGATCCAGGACTCTCGCCTGAGGGTGAACTCGGGGCTCTGATTTTCAGGAGATTAAGTTTGGCTTGGGCTAGTGCTCCGGACTGGTAAGCGATCAAGAAAAAGCCAGACTTCAAGAGTTTTTGAACATGTTCACTCTCAGCTTGTGGCATGGGGCGTGGCAGAACCCTTTATGTTTTTAAGATCCAAAAACTAAGTCTAACTGTGAGGAAATCAGAGACACGAGGGTTGCCACCTCACCCATAGCTGTGCAAGGTATGGTCGTGAGAGTAGATAAAAACGCGGGTGAGCGGGGGGATATAACAAGTTAGATCCTTGAGTCGATGCTGGGCAGAGAGGCTTTCCGCTCCTCATTCTCTCTGATTTTCTGGTTCTCAGGGGTTCCTGTTACTATCACCCCGTCAGTGCAGACCCCAAATTCCACAAGTGGTAAGTAACCAAATCTGTTCAGCTTGGGGACTGGGGAGTTCAATGGACGGGGGTCCAAACATTTGCTCTGGGAGCTGTTTTTTGCTTTTTTTTTTTTTTAATATGTTTTTATTGATTTCAGAGAGTGGAAAGGAGAGGGAGAGAGAGAGAGAAACATCAGTCATGAGTCATTGATCGGCTGCCTCCTGCGCACCCCCTGCTGGGGATCGAGCCTGCAATCCGGGCATGCGCCCTGACAGGGAATTGAACCGCGATCTCCTGGATCCTAGGTCGATGCTCAACTGCCGAGCCACACCGGCCGAGCTCTGGGTGCTGTTTTGAGTGTGACCTGCTCCACCCCCCATGACCTCTTTCTCCCATTGTCCCCAGGTCCCCAGCTCCCAGAATACACCGTGGAGAATCTCATCAGCATGGCTCTGTCTGGATTGATCCTGGCAGTGCTGGGGGTGTTTGTGTTTCAGGCGTGGCACAGGGAGAGAAGGCCCCAGGGGCAAAGTGAAGACTGAGCACACACATTCCTCAGGATCTGTAACAGAACCTGAGAGCCACACCACACAGGCAAGGTTGTGATGGCAAGGTTCTGAGAGTCGGAGCCACAGGCTGTGTGAATTCTGCCCTGAGGACCTACAGGGAATGAAACTGTTGTTAGTGCTGGAGACAGTGACAGGGTCTGGGGATGTTCCTTGGGGGAGGCTCCTCCACCATGAACAGTGTCCTTGCCTTGCTAGCTCCCGATGCTTGGCATCTCTTATTCCCCATGTCAATGGCACAATGCTGCGTCCACATGGAGAGATTACGTTCATCACTCCACTCCTGTCTCAACTCTGTTCCTACACTGCATCGCAAATATCTTCTTTATAACGTCTACATTCCCTGGTGTGAGTTGCTCCATGCCTTTAGCTCTAAGTGCAGAGGCTCAGGAAATGTGGTTGAGTAACTAAATCAATGGACTGAAATTCACCTCCAGCCTGGAAGGTGAAGCTGGCAACACTACCCCAGGACCCTGTCTGGATTCTGTGGGCTCCTTTCTCTTCGCCTGGTGCTTTCTGAGTGGCTCCTCCCACCACATCAGCACTTGGCATCCACACTCTCCTGCATGCAAGTGACTGCCCACCCGTGAGCCTCTCTTGACTTCCCGTGTAACTGGTAGTGATGTGATGATGGCTCCTTCAGGGCTGTGGTCCCAATGAAATGAGATTGTGAATTCTAAGATGTTAAACACATGTTTGTTTGTTGCTGCTGTTGTTTGTTTGCTGGGAGCTATAAATGGGCAACGTATCTGAGCCACTTAGAGCAGGGGTTAGCAACTTTTTCTGTAAAGGGCCATCCAGTAAATGTTTTTGGCTTTGTGGGCCTTAGGATCTCTGGACTAACTACTCCGTTCTACCATTGTAGTGTGAAATAAACTGTGGGCAACATGTAAGTGGACATCATTGTGCTTCAATAAAACTTTATTTGTAAAAAATGGATGAGGAAGCAGATTTGTACTATTGGCCTTAGTTTTCTGACCCCAGACTTACAAAGAGTAGAGGATGGTTTATGAATTTTGCTCAATATATATTAGTATCATCATCACCATCACCATCATCACTAAATCATAAACATCATCATCACCATCATCACCACTATCACCATCATCATCACCATCACCATCACCACCATCATCACCATCACCATCACCATCACCACCATCACCACCATCACCATCACCACCATCATCATCACCATCACCACCATCACCACCATCACCACCATCATCACCATCATCACCATCACCACCATCATCACCATCACCATCATCACCATCACCATCATCATCATCACCACCATCATCACCATCACCATCATCACCACCATCATCATCACCATCATCACCATCACCATCATCACCATCACCACCATCACCATCATCACCATCATCATCACCGTTATCACCATCCCTATTACTATCATCATGATAACATCATCATCATCATCAATATTATCACTATGCTTTAACTCTGACATTAAATATTGAGCTTTTCTTAAAATAGTGGGTGACACAATCTCCAATATTTCCTTCTTCCTGTGCTAGAATTAAATTCGAACCCTGCCTTATCTTGGAGAAAAAGTAAAACTCTCTCATCTCCCTTACAAGTTCAAAACTCTTTTTACTTTTAAATATTTTAAATTTTAATTATAGTTGATGTACAACACTAGTTTCACGTGTGCAACCCAGCGATTAGACATTTATATAACTTAAAACATGAGCACCCTGATAAATCTAGCACCCATCTGACACCATACATAGTTATTACAGCATTAATGACCATATTCCGTATGCTGTAGTGTACATTCCCATGACTATTTCGTAACTACCAGTTTGTACTTAATCCCTTCACTTTTTTCGCAAATCCTCCCTAACCCGCCTCCCATCAGGCAACCGTCAAAATATCCTCTGATCTATGAGTCTGCTTCTGTTCCGCTTGTTTGTTTATTTTGTTTTTTTTTTTTTAAAGATTCCACATATAAGTGAAATCACCTGGCGTTTGTTGCAGAAACTCTTTTTAAAGATGCAAAATAAAACAGAATATCCTTCGGTTTTATAAATATTGAAAAGACTCCGATAAAACACAGGCAGATAGGTAGGGTTTTCCTGGTAGATGGAGAATGGTAATGGACGCAATATATGCCAAAATGAAGATTAATGCAATCATGCCAAGGCGGAGAAACCTAAACATTTAGTTGAGCGTCAGTGCGTGGGATAAAGACGGGAGTGATGAGAACTGAAACTGGAGTTAGCAAGGGGAGGCTGAAAATAAGGGCCTTGGAGGTGCAGGCGAGGCCGACAGTCCCGTAGGCAGGGCTCCGCGGGAAACGCCCACGTTCAAAGGTGAAGAGCACCCTTCGTTCCTCAAGTTCAGATGTGAGCGCAAGGGGTGCCTTGATGTTTCTACCATGGTGGAGTCCTCTCAGCCAACGAGTCGCGACGGACGTGCGGCCACGTTCCAGGATCCTGTCCGAAGTCAAAGCCCTGAAAGGCGGCCACGCAGAGACCGAGAGCCTGGAGGGTGTGTCCGGAGCAAAGCCAATTATAGCGGCTCCCGCCTCCTTAGGAGTCCTGCTGGGAATTGGGAAATCCGCATCTTAAATCCGTAAAGTGGGAGCAAAATCTCTAAATCCAAGAGCGCTCTCTGGCGGATGTCACCATCTCAGGGAATCCTTGAGGCTTTCCAGCGGTTCCGGCATTAGGTTACGATATGAGAAGGCCAGTGGGGGCGTAAAGGGGGGGATTGATGACTCTACTCCCGCTGAGGAAGGAGAAAGAAGCACCCACAATGGACATAAGTGATCCGTGTGTATGTCTGGAAGGCGTGGGGTGGAAGAAGAGAGGGGGGAGGAGGGGAGGAAGGAGACGCGACGAGAGAAATGCTCTTGGCTTCTACCATCCCGTCAGTCTCCCAGGTCTACGTAATTGGCCTCGACCCTCCCTCTCCTCTCTTGGAACAGGAGCCAGATCTTTTTTTTTTTTATATCTCTTCATTGATTTCAGAGAGAGGAAAGGAGGGGGAGAGAGATATATAGAAACATCAATGATGAGAGAGTCATTGATCGAGCCCACACTCCGGGCATGTGCCCTGACCGGGAATCGAACCCCGATCTCCTGGATCCCAGGTCGACGCTCAACCTCTGGGCCACGCCGGCCGGGCCGTGCACTTTCTTTAAGCTTCGTTAATCCGGATGCGACCTGGGAGGATTTGGAGAGGAACGCCAGCGACTGCAGTGTGGGGAGAGGCAGAGCCTTGGGCGGGGACCGTTCATCGGGTTCTGAACCCCGCATCCACTCCGTGGTGCGTTAGGACAACGGTGTATTCTGTGTAGAATACAGAACTGGGGAGTTACGAAAGGCAGAACTTGTGCTCTGAAAAAAGAAGTCGCACATCTTTGGGACCACAACAGACTGACATGTGGCGAAATAGCTGTTTCGCTTCCCTTTAAAGATCGGCGTTGGAACGTGGGCTGCAGGGCGACGGACGCCTGCCTGCCTGTGACATGCTCTCAGCAAGCCTGGCCTCCAGGCTCCGCCCGCGCCTCCCCCGCGCAGCGTGGGTGGGGCAGGAAAATCGCCGTCACTCCAAAACTCACCACCCTCGTGCCGTGGGGAGGAAAAGTGAATCATATTTTTATTATCATCATTTTGGACTTTAGAATAGGCCTTGGATTCCACTTCGAAATCCACGTTAATCGGTCTTCTTATTGGTGCATTACTGATTTATTATTTATTCATAAATATTTTAAAATTAAGTCTTGGTAACAAAGTAATCAGTAATCAATGTCTGACAGTTAATAGTGCATTGCCCCATTAGTCTTCTCATGGGGGTGCTAGCAATCTATTATTCCTTAGTAAATATTCTGAAGTTAAGCGCTGGTGATCAATGAAGCAATTGTCAATCTCTAAATGCACGTATTTGCCGTGTAAATGTTCTTCTACTGTCGCTGAGGAGTGGAGCGCAGTGTGAGAAGGGCTGGCGGCCAGCAAGGAGCAGGCGTGGCCTACCATCGCACGGGACACCTCACCCTTACCTGCTTAACTTCTTTCGCCACAAAATCATTACAACAAACTGTGCAATATAGCCCTTACCCCATCACGGGCAATTATTTATCGAGAGGCAGGGAGAGGCATTGACTGTGTGGGTGGCATACAATCGGTTGGAAATGCCAAGCTGGTCACTCCCTTGAAGGTCCTGGGCACGGGGCGAGATCATGCTGGGATCTGCAGGTGAAGGGGAGCCCTTGGGCGGGGTGGGGAGCGGCCAGGAGAGGTCAAGGTGAGGTGGGAACGGGCCTTCCCCGAGAGAGGCAGATTCAGATACGATACCTGCTGTGAAAGGGGAAACCTCAGAGCAGAATCTCCTTAGCGGGATAACGGGAGATGTGGAGGCTTTTTTCCTCCCAAGAGCCTGTGTCTCCAGAGAAGAGAAAGATCCGTGAGCTGGGCCTCAAGCATGTTCACGTTCTGGAAAGCGCGTTGGGAGCTGAGAACGGAGGGGGTCACCATTCTCTGTGTGCGGGCTCTCCACTCTCCGGGCATTGTGTCTCCCAGCATTTAAAAACAATGTCACCACCTTCGTTATTGGTGAAATAGGGACCCGTTGGCTCCTGTGGATTTTCTCCTACTCACACGTTCATGGTTGACCTTGGCACTGTGTTCGGTATTCAATCGCTTCTGGAAACCCCCAAACCACTGACGAGCGGAGGCTTAAAGAGATGAGGCTGGTGATGAACGGAGATGGCCTGGGTCCCTGCCCCCCCCTCCCCGCCGCTGCCCCCTGCAGCGGCTTCCCCAGCTCTGGAAGTCTCCGGCGGTTCAGACGTCCTCCGTCGACAACTGAGTTGTGGAGCAAGAGATACCACAGACGGGAGGCCGGTGGAAGGCGCTGGGGACGCCCTCCCCTGCTGGAAGGACCGCACAGGCTCCTGCCACCGCCGAGGACCTGGAAGACACAGGGACCATAGTTCCGTCCACACCCCCGTGCGACAAATGAACCGTGAGGAATCGCAGTAGGTTCTTGTGCATCAGGCGACCATTTCGATTTCCGCTCCTGCTCCGGCTGAGGCTTCATTGTCAGAAAAATCCCCGCACATCTCCCGCCGTGCAGTTGTTCATCTGGGGAAAATTCATTTCCTCTGGGTCTGTCTCTAAAGGCTACAAGGTCAGTCGACTTCTGGGCATCAGGGCCAACAACACACCCGATCGTGACTCCTTTGGGAGAGATGGACTCTCCAGACCTCCAAACAAGGCTGCAGGGACCACGATCGCCCCTCCACTGGGCAGACCATTACACGCCGTGAGGACTGGACGTGCGAAATAGGAAGTTATCCACCCGTCCAGGCCCCTCGTGAGCCTGATGGGTTCCGGAGAGTGGCGAAGGAGTCCAGTTGCCTGAGGCATGTTGAGCTCTCCCATCTGTGGTGACGACTCGGTGCTCCATCTGAGCCTCTTGCATACGGGGAACAAACCCAATTCCTGGTGGACCTTCCTTGGAATTTGGACACAACATGTCCCTCCTTGGGTGCGTCACCTGCACCCACATATGAGTGCCTTGAGGGGTTGATGGCTTTGGGTGGGACCCAGAACAAAAGAAGTCTTGGCAACAGGTGCGGGCTGCCTGGGCTGTTGGACCCAGGAGATCTGATTGTGTCTGAAACATCTGCAGCAGATGAGGTCCTTATAGAGTCTTCGGGGGAGCTGCAGATGAATTAAAACACAGACATTTACTCTTTTGGAGCCGCCTTGTGCATTTCCCTGGAGAACTAGTCTCCTTTGTGAAACAGCGTCTGGGTTGTTACCGGGCCCCACTGGAGACGGTCTTGGCCGAGTCACCATGAGACATGAGATGCCCATGATGGAACGGGAGCTGATTACTGACCATACCTTGAACGGGGCTTGCCCAGCGGGGCCCCGTCACCAAACAGAAGTGGTCTAGGTGAGATGTGGCTAAAGGAGTCCCTCAGGGCAGGAGGCAGGCAGAACAATGACCTTCTAAAGATGTGCACCCCTCAGTCTTCAGCACCTGTGACTGTCACCTCACGTGGCACAAGGGACTTTGCAGCTGTGATTATGTTCAAGATGTTGAGATGGAACATGATCCCGGGTGAGCCAGGTGGGCTCAATGTCATCACAAAGTCCTTGGATTGAAAGAGGGAGGCAAGGGGACAGAGCTGAAGAGATGTGACAAGGGGAGCAGTGGACAGAGTGATGTGACTGCTGGCGTTGAAGACGGAAAAGTTCCATGAGGCACAGCATCGGGACAGCGTGGGAAGCTAGAAAGACAAGGAAACACTTTCTGACCTCCAGAAGGGAAAGGTGAGAAATCTGTGTTGCTTTAACCCAGTAGCGCCTGGTTATTTGTTATGGCAGCAACAGGAAACTAATACACTGGGCCCCCCCCCACTTGTTTTTGGAGGTGATGATGCGGTTTTGTTTGTTCTGGCTAATCTGAGATTTGCAAGCACAGCATTAGAATCTGTGTGGTCCAGCGGTGTATTCTTGGGACAGGCACATTGCAAATCTTCAGTGAATATGGGCTGATACTGGGTCAAAGGGGGGTTCAGGCCAGAGAGACAGAAGCTCGTGGGTAAAATGGGGCCTCAGGCGCGGCAGAAATGTCTGCAGAAGCCTGCTGCCCCCCCCCCGGCCCCAGCCCTGAGGAAATGAGAGCCAGCTCCCAGGCAGGGGCTGTTCCCTTTTGTGGGGCTGCTGTCCTGGAAACCCCGTGACGGACGACTAGCCTCGGAGAGGCCACACCCTCTGTGTCTCTCTCCCCTGAGGGCACTGTGGTCCCCTCCATCTGCACAGTCAGGACCAGAGAGAGGGGACACCATGACCCCCACCATCACAGCCCTGCTCTGCCTCGGTGAGATGAGAGGAGGGGGAGGGGAGCCCTGCTGTGTCAGGAAACCGCAGGACTCAGGAGGCTCGCGGGAGGGGGCTCTGCTCAGGATGAGGGCGGATCTCTCACAGGGACTCTCTTCCAGGGCTGAGTGTGGGCCTGAGGACCCCAGTGCAGGCAGGTGAGTGTGTCCCCAGGTGTCCCAGGTCCCACTCCTCACTGGGGACAAGGGACCACCCCCCAGGCAGTTGGGGAAGGTAGACAACAGATCTGTCTGACAGATGGGGGGCATCTGTGACTGAGAGTGGGGGATGGGGTGGGAATATCTCAGGACCCAGCCTCTGATTTCTTCCAGGTCCCCTCCTCCCCAAGCCCACCCTCTGGGCTGAGCCAAGCTCTGTGATCCGCTGGGGGAGCTCTGTGACCATCTGGTGTGAGGGGACCCGAGGGGCTCGGGAGTATCAGCTGGTTAAAGAAGGAAGCCAAGTGCCCTGGGACAGACAGAAGCCACTGGAACCCGGGGACAAGGCCAAATTCTCCATCACACAGATGACAGAGCTACATGCAGGGAGATATCGCTGTTACTATCTCAGCCCCAATGGCTGGTCAGAGCCCAGTGACCCCCTGGAGCTGGTGGTGACAGGTGAGAGGACACTCAGGGGTCCCAGCCTCAGGCTCTGCCCTCAGGAAGGGGGTCTGCTCTCAGGGTGTCCCCCTCCCACAGCCCAGGCCTGGGGGTGAGGGAGGTGTGACCCCATCTAACACTCTGCCCCCTCCTCTCCTAGGATTCTACAGCAAACCCAGCCTCTCGGCCCTGCCCAGCCCCGTGGTGGCCTCAGGAGGGAACGTGACCCTCCAGTGTGGCTCATGGCAGGGATTTGGCAGGTTCATTCTGACTAAGGAAGGAGACCACAGGCCCCCCTGGACCCGGGACTCACAGCCACAGCCCAGTGGGAAGCTCCAGGCCCTGTTCCCCGTGGGCCCCGTAAGCCCCAGCCACAGGTGGGCCTTCAGATGCTACGGCTGTTACAGGAACACCCCCCAGCTGTGGTCAGAGCCCAGTGACCCCCTGGAGCTCCTGGTCTCAGGTGAGTCCCGTTACTGTCCCATCCATGGGTTGAAGCACCAGGCAGGTTATGGGCATCTTTGCTGGGAGGGGTGCCCCAGGTGACAGGGCAGAGTGATGGGAGCACAGGGAATCCCGGGCCACAAACAGAGAGACAGTGAGACCTGGGGACCAGGACAGGAGAAGGGGACTTATGGGAGGAGCAGCCCCTATAATTTAGGTCTGGTCTCTTCAGGAGGCTCTGAGGATCGGCCCCTCCCCACCACGGAGTCAGACAAGCAGAGGGGTAAGTGAGGGGTTCTGTGGGGAGGTGGTGGGTGTGTCCATGGGGGACAGGGGCTGAGTCATGTGGGGGTTCAGGCACCTCTGGAGTCGCTGACTTGGACACGCCCCTCCCCGTCTGGGCCTCAGTGTCCCCAAGTGGAAAGGAGAGAATCGTGGCCCAGATTCAGGTTTCCTGTCAGTTCAGGCCCTGACCCCCTGGGAGAGGGGGCCTCACAGGGAACCCCCAGGACGTGATGTTAGGGGGACAGTCCCCTCTGTGGCAGAGACTGTGACACTGTGCAGGGAGGGACAGGCAGGACAAGGGTCCGGGGCATCCAGGGCCTTCCCTCAGCTCAGGCTCAGCTCAGAGGAGGCATTGAGGGGGGGGGGGTGAGACCTGGTCCAGTTCTGGGCTCTGCTGCTCCTGCTGTGGGGCCAGGGGGGCCCTTCTCCTCTCTGAGGGTGGGGTTCATGCCTGGTCGTCCCTGGTCCCATCTGCCCACAGGCTGCTGTGAGATGAGGTGACATAAGGGGCCTCACAGAGCTCAGGAGGCAGAGCCCCCAGCCCAGGGCCCTGCAGGGTGGAGACAGATCCCAGGAGGGACACGGAGTCCACCCCACACCCCTGCCCCTCCCGGGTCCCTGCTGTGCTGGGGGAGGGTCATAAGGAGGGACCCTCAGCTCCCGGTGGGACAGGAACAGGCCCCTGCAGATGAGGGGCCCAGAGCACAGAGCTGGTGTCCCCCTGGGGGAGCATGAGGACAGCCCAGGGAACCCACAGCCCGGGTTCCAGCCCAGCCCTGCCCCGTCCCTGCTGGGTGACCTGGGCCAGGTGACTAACCTCTCTGAGCCTCAGTGAAGGGGGGGTGGGGCCAGCACTCCCTGGTGCACCAGGGCTGTGAGGTTAGAGATGAAGGAGGACCCAGCACGTGCCTCGCACACAGTAGGTGCTCATTAAATGGCATCACTGGCTCATTCATATCACTCGTGCCCAAGGTCTCAGTTGGAACCTGCCCGTCCTGATCGGGGTCTCAGTGGCCCTCATCCTCCTCCTTTCCCTCCTCTCCCTCGTAATCTTCCTCGCCCTCCGACACCGGCGTCAGGGCCAACGCAGGACGTCGGGTGAGTAGGGAACAGGGGACCTGGGTCCCAGGGGGGAGAGGGGCTCAGAGCACCTGCCCAGGAAAACCTAACAGATGGAGAAGGTCAGTGAGGAAAAGATTTCTCCAGAACCTCAGGTCAGCCAGTGTGGAGAGAAAACGTCTCACGTGCACACACTTCAGGTCACGCCCCATCGTCTCCCCTCATGACACACGAACCGCGCACAAGTGCTGAGGTTCCCTTCTTTCCTGGGGAATACACGGGGAGGGGCCTGACCCCCCAGGGCTGAGACTGTCCCCTTTGACCAGCCCAGGGACACACTGATGTTCCTGGGTTAGTGTCCCACCTGGGAAGAGAGAGGGTCTGCAGCCCTGAGATCTCGGGGGCCCTGCAAGGAGACACACCCCTGTTCTGCCCCAGCAGATGCCTCTGTGAAGGACCCAGAGCCTGAAAATGGCATCGAGCTGGACCCTCAGGTGAGACCCCTGCTCCTGTCCAGGCCAAGGACCTTCTGTTGCCCAGTTTAATCCAATGGATCCTCCCTGTCCCCACCTCACCTGGTTCTCAGCAGTGTCCACCCTGACCTCTGCTGGGCACCCAGGTCGTCCTGCTGTGCATCACTCCTCCTGGTTTCCTGTGACCTCACAGCCCCTCCTGCATGGTCCCCTCTGCTGGCCCCTTGTCCTCTGTCTGACCTTGTGCAGCCCAGGTCTCAGGAGGAGGCCTGAATAAGTGAATCACCTGCAGGTCCCAGCCTCCCCTTCATTCATTCACCCAGCAGATGGGACGGGCTCCCTGTTTACCGGCTCCACTCAGGAGCCACTGTGCAGCTCTGAGCAACAGCCTCCACCCTCCTCGGGCTCACCTGTGGGTGGAGACACCATGCAAACAAGCAGACAGTGTCCTAGAGGGCAAAGTGCTGTGACGGAAAGTAAGGCAGGAGGAGGGGACAGAGTGCATGCAGGGGACACAGGGAACAGCAGGGGCAAGTGCCCTGAGGCAGGACACGCTTCTCAGGAAGATGGGCCATGAGGCTGGAGCCAAGTGAGCAAGAGATGGTGTTAGGGTAAGAGTCAGATCCTAGAAGCATCCAGAGGCCCCAAGGCCTAGGGAGTCCCTGCAGATTCCATCGGGAGAGTGACCTCATCTCTTTGAAGTGAAAATCATCACCTGGCCACATGTGATAACTGCTGGAGGATTTCAACAGTGGAGTCCAGGAGACGCTGTTTGTCTCACTCTCTCCAGCAGANTGGGGGGTCTGCAGCCCTGAGATCTCGGGGGCCCTGCCAGGAGACACCCCCCTGTTCTGCCCCAGCAGATGCTGCCATGAAGGACCCAGAGCCTGGGGAGAGTGTGGAGCTGGACCCTCAGGTGAGACCCCTGCTCCTGTCCAGGCCAAGGACCTTCTGTTGCCCAGTTTAATCCAAAGGACCCTCCCTGTCCCCACCTCACCTGGTTCTCAGCAGTGTCCACCCTGACCTCTCCTGGGCACCCAGGTCGTCCTGCTGTGCATCACTCCTCCTGGTTTCCTGTGACCTCACAGCCCCTCCTGCATGGTCCCCTCTGCTGGCCCCTCGTCCTCTGTCTGACCTTGTGCAGCCCAGGTCTCAGGAGGAGGCCTGAATAAGTGAATCACCTGCAGGTCCCAGCCTCCCCTTCATTCATTCACCCAGCAGATGGGACGGGCTCCCTGTTTACCGGCTCCACTCAGGAGCCACTGTGCAGCTCTGAGCAACAGCCTCCGCCCTCCTCGGGCTCACCTGTGGGTGGAGACACCATGCAAACAAGCAGACAGTGTCCTAGAGGGCAAAGTGCTGTGACGGAAAGTAAGGCAGGAGGAGGGGACAGAGTGCATGCAGGGGACACAGGGAACAGCAGGGGCAAGTGCCCTGAGGCAGGACACGCTTCTCAGGAAGATGGGCCATGAGGCTGGAGCCAAGTGAGCAAGAGATGGTGTTAGGGTAAGAGTCAGATCCTAGAAGCATCCAGAGGCCCCAAGGCCTAGGGAGTCCCTGCAGATTCCATCGGGAGAGTGACCTCATCTCTTTGAAGTGAAAATCATCACCTGGCCACATGTGATAACTGCTGGAGGATTTCAACAGTGGAGTCCAGGAGACGCTGTTTGTCTCACTCTCTCCAGCAGAACAGGCAGGACGCAGACCCCCAGGGAGGGATGGACGCCCAGGGGAACCACTCAGGATCCAGACTCAGGCAGGGAGTGGCCCCCTCGCCCTCCTCTCTGCCAGGGGGATTGCAGGACACGAAGGGCAGACAAGCAGGAAAAGTCACTCAGGTGGATCGCATCTTCTTCAGTGTCCTAGTATTCATCCACCCTCAACCATGTTTTACCTCCCTCACTCTCTGCCCTGCTCCAGGCTGCTGCATCTGATGTCCTCCAAGATACAACCTACTCCCTGCTGAAGGGATTGGCCCTCACGTAGAGGCCAGCACCCCCTCACTCTTGTCAGAGGAGCCTCCAGATGAGCTCAGCGTGTACGCTGCTCTGGCCACCCACTAGCCCAGCAAGGACCCAGACCCCACACTCCAAGGGGTCTGCAGGGACCCCGGAAGGCACAGGAGTTGTGCCCTTGGACACTCAGCTAGTGACACTAGCCAGCCTGGAGACGGGATGTGGGCCTCCAGCAGCTTCTGGGGCCCTCTGCCAGTCACCTGATTCTGCCATCACAGATAACTAATATCCCTATATTATGGAACCAAAGCAACAGACTTCTCAATAACCAATGCATGAATTGATTATTGACCGGAAGTGAGAGAATGCTTTAAATTAATGATAACATAAATATTATACATCCAACTTGCAAAATAAGAAAACTAGGAAGCATGAGTGACTATATTAAAAAAGCCTAAAAAAAATCGATGACCTAATTTATTGCACCAAGACTTTAGAAAAAGAATAGCAAATTATTCTCAATAATGGTAGAAGGAGGGATAGAATACCACGAGCTCCTGATGAGAACAACAAAACTTAAGAAAAAGCAACAAAGCACAAAATTCTCCTTCTTGAAAACTTTAATCACATTTATAAATCTTAGCCGCAGTGGGGGGAAAAAGCGTCCTACAGACTTTAAATAGATACCATAACAGTATAAGGAATTTGATGCCAGGCCTTAGCTGGGTAGCTCAGGGGGTTAGAGTGTCATCCCCATAGGCCAAGGTTGCACGTTGGATCCCGGGCCAGGGCACATACAAGAATCAACCAATGATGAGCAAATAAGTGGAGCTACAATTGACCTCTCTCTCCTCCCCCCCCACCCCTCTCTCTCTAATTAATGAAATAACATAAACAATTAGATGCCAATGTATTAGACAATGTAGTTAAAATGGGCATCTTCAAATGTACAATTTATTAAAAAGACATAAGAGTTCATAGAAAATCCATACCACCTTATGCATACATTAAACACATTGACTTTGTAATAAAAATTGTCCTACAACTGAACACTGTGGAATATATATATATTTTTTAAAAAGTCAAAATGATAGAAACAAAGAGTAGAGTGTCAGTTACCAGTGGTCGGGAGGGAGAAATGGGGAGATATTGGTTAAAAGGTACAAACTTCCAGTTACAAGATTGCCAGATTCTGGGGATCTCATGGAGAGCGCGGTGACTGCAGCTAGCAATGCTGCATTACACTCCTGAGTGTCGCTAAGAGAGTGGATCTCACACGCTCTCACCGCGGAGATGGCAACCCTGCGACAGGACAGAGTGTTAGCTAATGCCAGGGTGGGCATCATTTTGCAATAATAAAAATGTCTCAGTTCAGGAGGCTTCCTTGGTGGTTTCTTCCAAATGCTTGTACACATAGACACGCACACGCACGCACGCACACGTGGCAAACTTACACAAACATTTCCTGAGAGTAGGAAAAAAAGCACACATTTTCATAGGCTAGGAAAATACTGACTCCCAAACCTGACAAGGAAGTTACAAAATGGATGAACTTGGATGCAAATCGCTAAAAATAGTCAGAGATAAGATTCAGTGATATATATATAAAGGACAATACACCATGACTATGCTGTTGTTTTTTTGTTTTGGAAGGGCAGAGAAGCTTAAAGTGTTAAAAAATATAATCACAATGTAATATACAGATGATGTATCACAGAATTGTACACCTGAAACTTATATAATCTTATTGACCAATGTCACCCCAATAAATTTAATTTTTAAAATAAATCCAACCCATTAAGGGAGTAAGTAAAAAAAAAAAAAAAAAAGCCTCATCTCAATAGAGGCAGACAAAAAGAATTAGAGTTAAAAAAAAAATCATCAGCAATTCACAATGCAAATACAAACTCATCAGAAATAAAAGGGAACTTTCTAATTTATAAAGACATGTTTAACAATCAACACTAGATATTCTTTTTTAAAAAAAAAATTTTTATTGATTTTTTTAGAGAGAAAAAGGGAGAGGGAGAAAGAGAGAAACATTGACCTCTCATAGCAACTGGGGACCAAACCTGCAACCTGGACAGGTACCTTGCCCAGGAATCGAACCGGTGACTCTTGGGTTCACAGTATGACATTCAACCAACTGAGCCACACCAGCCAGGGCCATTTTTTTTACTTTTTACCCATTTACATAATTATAGTTCAAGAGAATTTCTAAAAGATTTCCTATAGTAGGGCCTTGTTTGATTTTTTTTAAAAAAATAAACCAATCTTACAATCTGTCTTTTAATTGTTGTATTTAGACCATTTAGATGTAATGGAATACTGATAGATTGATAGATTGTTATTTACATTTACCACTTTACTTCATTGTTTGTCCCTTTATTGTTTGTTCTTCTTTCTCTCTCTCCTGTCCTTCCTTGGCTTTAAAAAATATTTTTAGTATTCCATTTTAATTTTGTGTTGATGTGTTAACTATACATCTTTGAATACTGTTTAAGTGCTTGTTCTAGATATTATCATAAGTATCTAATTCAACATTGTCATGTTAGAGTTAGTAATTTACCTCTCAAGGGAAACGTAGAAACCATATAAACGTATAGCTTTCTATTCTCACCTGTTTATCCTGAGGTGGTTGTATGTATTATATCTATATATACATCCAGGGCTATGTCAGAGCCCACGGGACCTGGTATAGCAGGTGATCTTCACCCAGATCACCTGCTTCAGCCTAATAACCCTCCTGGGCAGCTGGGGAGAATACAGCGGGTCTGGGCTGGCAGTGATGGGTCTGGGATGGACCTTGGAGTGGGAGCTGAGGAAACTGAGGGCAGGAGGACACCCTAGAAACTTCAGGTCTGGTTCCTTTCTAAGGGTCCTCCTGAGCTGACCCTCAGAGGAGCCCTGTGACCAAGAGGAGCCTTGTGACTATCTGGTGTCAGGGGTCTCTGCAGGCTAATGTCTCTGCAGTTTGTATAAAGAGAGGGCCCTTGTCTTGCCCCATGGTGTTCACGCTCCCGAACTTAGCATCTGACTGCGATGTGCCCGGCGGCGACAACTCCAAGGGGAGCCTCACGCTCACCCCTGGACAGACACCCATGTCGGGCTAGAATGGATTGACTGTTTCACACACAGGGGACGTTGGCTCAGTGCTGACCATGGGCTGGCTCAGTGGACAGAGGTACCCCAGTGCCCATCCCCAACACACGGAAAGGGCAACTCTGCTTCCAAAAAAATTCTTCTTGTTCCAAGTCCCCTCCCTGCAGAGTCTTTTCTGACCATACAGAGGTGGAAACCTCCCTTCTGATGACCCCTTGCTAGTCCCAGGCATTGGAGGGCCCTCAGCTTGGACCTATTTTATTTGTTGAGATGCCTTTGGTACTGGGCAATTTAACTTCTCTTTTTCGGCATTGCGTGTGGTACATATTTCAGAAATATTACAAGTAGCGTTTCTCAGCATTAGGAGCAGATGGAGGCTCATGAGTGGGCTCATGCCTTGTTCACCTTGACTGTGCGGTCAGACACCCTGTCCTCTCGTGTGCCAACCCACGTACCTTCATCCGATCTGGAAATCAACAAGAATTGATTCCCTCCCTTGGCCCGGGCTAAAACGACTCCACTACCGCTCTGAGGAGGAGAGTTTATGACAATATGTTGCAGATGGGGAAACTGAGGCTCCGAGATTGAACCTTACTGCTCCAGGACACGGGGCGTGGACGGCGGAGGAACAGCTAAATAAGAATGCGCTTTGTCTGAGGGAGAAGGTATGACTTTGGGTGCTGGGCACACAAAGCAATAGACAGATCTCGTAACATAGAAACCCACACCTGAAACCTATATGTTCGTAGTAACCATTGTCGGTGCAATAAATTTACATAAATAATAAAGAAAGAGATAAAAAGAATGAGCTTTGTCACCAAAATCAGAGCATTAACCCACTCACTGTCCCCGAAAGCTGAAGACCCGAGGGCAGGATCACAGGATGAGGGGACGGCTCTGCCTGAGGGACACTGAGGGGGCAGGAGTGAGTCACAGCCCTGTTCCTAGGGAGGGGAGGGTGGCAGTTGCAAGAGAAAGGAGAAGCTCCTGAGGGGCTGTGGTGGGAAGAAAGCCCACGCTCTGGGGCCAGAAGAGTCGGTTTTCCTTCCGTTTCCCTGCATTTCTCCTTTCTGCACAGTGAGAGGGTGAACGTGTCTCTGCTGATCTGAGCCCCGCTGACCACAGGGACCCGCGTCTTCCTGAAGCACGTTTGGGGCCCGGGTGACACTGTCCGTGGTGAGGGCCCCACAGGGAGGTGCTGGGGGACGAGCTGAGGATGAAGGTGACCCATTGGGGGAGGCTCTGACAGGGAAGGACGTGCCCTGGGCCACCCCACCTGGAAGGGGCGTCTCAGGGGGCTGCGTCCTGGAAATGATGCACCTGTGGATGGGTTGCTCCTCTTCTTGAGGGGCTGCTGATCTGACAACCCCATGACAGGGAGGGCCAGCCTCCCAGTGGCCGCACCCCATTCCTCTCTCTGTCCTGAGGGCGCTATGGTCCCCTCCACCTGCACAGCTGAGGCCAGAGGGAGGACACGCCATGACCCCCACTCTCACGGGCCTGCTCTGCCTCGCTGAGATGAAAGCAGGTCTGTTCCGAGCACTGCCATCAGGGATGGTCTTCCTTGGACAGGACAGTTCAGCTGATTTCGGAAAGGACAGGAGGAGCCCCGAGCAGCCCCGGGAAGACCTGTCTCTCTTCCTGAGCCTCCTGCTCTCACTGCTTCTCACTTTCAGTGTCAATGGACCAAGAATCACTGGACCTCAACCGATCATGCCTGTGGGGCTCCCCCCGAGGACCTGCCTCAGGTACTAAGTCACTCAGAGGCAAGGCCGGGTCTTCCTTACCTGGGACCAGGAGCTCCAGGGCGTCACTGGGCTGTGACCACGCCTGGGGCCTGTTCCTGAAACAGCCGTAGCATCTGAACCTCCACCTGTGGCTGGGGGTCACGGGGCCCACGGGGAACAGGGCCTGGGACTGCCCCTTGGGCTGTGGCTGTAAATCCAAGGTCCACAGGAACCTACGATCTCCTTCCTCAGTCAGAATGACCTCTGTTTGTGCTGAGCACCCCACGGGGAGGGGCGGGGGGCGGGGCTGAGGGTGCGGGAGGGCCCGGCGGGGGCTCTGACAGGGAAGGACGGGCCCTGGGCCCCCGGGAAGGGGCGTCTCAGGAGGCCCCGGCCTGTTCCTGCTGCATCGGGGACAACAGCCCGGCCCCTGCAGAGACGGTTCCTCTTTCTGAGGCCCTGCCGGCTGCTGTGACAACCCCATGACAGAGACCAGCAGCGTCCAGTGGCCACACCCTGCCGGCCTGTCTGTGCTGAGGACACTGGCCGCCCTCTGCACAGCTGGAGCCGAGAGGGGACCCCATGGCCCCCACCCTCGCGGCCCTGCTCTGCCTCGGTGAGGTTCTGAGGGAGGGGCCCTGGGCGGGGAGGGACCCTGCCCACAGCCAGGCGCTGCCCTGACTGAGCCCCGGCCTCAGGAGGCTCCCGGGAGGGGCTCTGCTCAGGATCAGGGCAAATGTCTCACAGGGTCTCTCTTCCAGGGCTGAGTGTGGGCCTGAGGACCCCAGTGCAGGCAGGTGAGTGTGTCCCCAGCTGTCCAGGACCCACTTCCCGGGGACAAGACACCCCCCCCCCCAGGCAGCTGGGAAACGAGGACAGCAGCTCTGAGCTGACCGCTGGGGGACGGGGAGGGACCGTGTGCTGACCGCTGGGGATGGGGGGGGAATGTCTTGTGACCCAGCCTCTGATTCCTTCCAGGTCCCCTGCCCAAGCCCACCCTCTGGGCTGAGCCAGGCTCTGTGATCCCCCGGGGGAGCCCTGTGACCATCTGGTGTCAGGGGACCCGAGGGCCTCGGGAGTATCAGCTGGTTAAAGAGGGAAGCCAACTGCCCTGGGACAGACAGAAGCCACTGGAACCCGGGGACAAGGCCAAGTTCCCCATCCCACAGATGACAGAGCTACATGCAGGGACATATCGCTGTTACTATCTCAGCTACACTGACTGGTCAGAGCCCAGTGACCCCCTGGAGCTGGTGGTGACAGGTGAGAGGACACTCAGGGGTCCCAGCCTCAGGCTCTGCCCTCAGGAAGGGGGTCTCCTCTCAGGGTGTCCCCCTCCCACAGCCCAGGCCTGGGGGTGAGGGAGGTGTGACCCCATCTAACACTCTGCCCCCTCCTCTCCTAGGAGCCTACAGCAAACCCAGCCTCTCGGCCCTGCCCAGCCCCGTGGTGGCCTCAGGAGGGAACGTGACCCTCCAGTGTGGCTCAGGGCAGGGATTTGACAGGTTCATTCTGACTAAGGAAGGAGACCACAGGCCCCCCTGGACCCGGGACTCACAGCCACAGCCCGGTGGGAAGTCCCAGGCACTGTTCCCCGTGGGCCCCGTGACCCCCAGCCACAGGTGGACCTTCAGATGCTA